ACTGACCCTAAAATTGAACAAAAAAACACACGAAAAGCATGGTATTTGCGACACTTTCACAAAAACGCTACCAAAAAACAAGAACAAAAACGTTGGAAAACGCAAACACCGAAACGTCGTGTTGTTGACGAAAATCTCGCAAAACACAGGGTTTTCGTGCTGTCGACCAAAAAACCTCCTAAACATAAACGACACACCCCGCGCGGCGGCAAACGCACGTGCTACCTACAACTACTAGTGCTAGTACTGGTACGACTCGTACTACTGCTACGGCGCAGCTGGAGCAGCAGCCGTGGCAGCTGCAATATCACAACTTGTAACCGCAGGCAAAATGAGAGCACGAATGTTCCAAAGCTTTGCTGACCTCTTTGGGCGGGCTGTTGTCACTCCTTAGGCCACCATGGGCAGGCAGGCACCCAGCCGCTGCGGCAGGGGCTTGGAGCTGAAGGTGTTGCTGCGCTGTCGGAGGCGGCTAGAGCTGGATGTGAAGGACATCTCCGAGGCGACGAAAGATCCAAGGCTCTGTGTCTCGTCGTCTGTGGATGCATTGGCTGTCGGCTCTTGTGCGGGGTCTTTGCAGGAAGTCGCCGGTTGCTCTGCTGTCTTGTCCTCGGCTTGGCAAGTGACCGCCATCATCACCACGCTGAGCAGCATGCATGCGGCTCCGAGCAGCTTGGGAGCATCGTCAAAAACGGCGGTCTGCGCCAAATAGCCCGAGATCATACTTGCAGATGTGAACACCGTCGCACTGGCTGCTGCTGGGCATCTTGTTGATCCAGCTGCCGGCAGGAAGATGGACAGTGAAGACAGGACTACCAGCAGAGAAAGAAGCCCCAGAGCCTGCCAGGGTGCTTCGACGACGGGCTCAAACCTAGTTTCGCCAATTCCAAGAAGCGGTGGAACGAAGCACATCGGCACTGCCAACAGAAGTGTCGCCACTGTGAGAAGGAAGACCGGGATATGGGCAGACTTGCGGGCACACACGTAACAGCACGCTTGAAAGAATCCTGACAGCATCGCCAGGCAGTAGCCAACAGGGGACTGCTTTGATCCCTCGGTGCCGAACAAGAATTGCGGCTGCGAGATGAACACTGCACCAGTGACTGAAAGAACCAAGGCAAGGAAATGAAGCATGCTGACTCGCTCCCCTAGGAATATCAGGCCCAACAGTGCAGCAGCGATGATGTCAATACTTGTGAGCGCTGCCACATCGCCTCGCGACGCTCCAGCACGGCCAGGATGGCCAGCATCCAGTGCAGGTTCTCAAATATGGAGCGTGACAGAAACCACCAGATGTCCCGGAGAGGAGGACACCTGATGCCCTGCCAGAGAATGCACAGAGCATTTAGAAAACTAGCCACGACGCAGCAAGCTCCCAGCAAGTACCAGTACGGCCAGTGCATGTCCTCGATGATCTTGCTCGCGACCATTTCACACGTCACAACAACTCCAGAGGAGACCATTAGCACTATCCCCGCCAGCTCAGTAGAGAGAGCCATCACGATTCTCTGCAAAAAGTATGGGCCTGGGTTGCTCCTGTGAGCAAGACGTACTCGAACCGACCGCAGCTCAGAGATGCATCAATTCCTTCTTATCCTTCAAGCAGAACATGGATACAAGGCATTCCGAACTGCCCGGAGACCACAATGGGCTGTACAGTTATCTCAACACTGAATGCTGAGGGGTCCTTAAGTAACAGACGTTCGTTTGTTGTTGCTTACCACGGATCTCGATGCTGCTACAATGATCGGCCGATGCACAACACATGAAAGTTTCCGAGGAAAAAATTACAGTTTCGTTGGATTCAAGCGCCGGGCAGTATCACGTCCTGCTGGCGGAGATTGGCCTGTGAGGTCACAAGTATAGAGTAGTTCTGGGTCCCTGACTCCGTCCTGCCCGTCTGCATCCCTCAAAGGCCGAAACTAATACGCTCAGTAACGCCTGGTTCCATCCATGCACGTCTTTGAAGTACAGCGCGTAGGTGCCTCAGCATCCCTACAAGGCAAAGGCCGGAAGCTTCGGGGAACTGGGACTCTTTGAATCTAACAGCTTTCGGAATCCCTGAGCCTGAGCTGTCAGGATCCTGTGGAGCTGACGCAGGCAACTGCAGGTGTAGGGTGCGGGCGTCTTCAGAGTTTCAGACTCTTAAGGATGCAGGGAGTAGTCAAAATTTCCTGCGGCACATTGAAAGCACACCTATTTGGGGCTCAAGATCGGCCACCGGCATCATGCCGAGTAAGTCGCAACACGTGGCTCCTAGCATCTTTTGCCGGAACAAGATCAAAAACTGGACGCCGCAGTAGCCGGAGCATTAAGCCTGACAACAAGTATACGCATCCGCAGAATAGCCAACTCAAGCCATCCCCTGAAGAAAGACACGGAACCCTTCCGTTCCTGGACCCCCGAAACGCTTTTGCAAAAGAGCTGCCATTACGAAATGAAACCCAATGCCTCGACCTTAATGCTCTACAGACATCTCGCCCAACAGTTTTCAACAAACCGAAAACTTCCCAACAAGGCCAAGCAGCACCACTCCACCTGATATGTAAAAAAGTTGGCCATGCTCAGGAGTGCCAGAAGAGCAGCCGGAAGATACAGGTCCTGACAAACAAATACAAGAGTAATACAAGGTTGAAGCCATAGCATTCAGCTGCGACCGAAGTAGTTGTCACAACGAGCCATCAACGTCGAAACCACGAGGTTGCAATTGGCCTTACCCTATCGGCACAAGCCATTCAAATCTCCTGAATTCGCAGCACTAGAACCGAAAGCCTTGCACCCTTAGCCCTCGTCCTTCGGCAGTGGTGTTCGGCCCCTGGTCTGCTTGCCTGTCGGACACAGGAGAGCCCTTTTCAATGGGGGGTTCGGAGTGTGGTTCGGGGATCGAAGCTGTCGGATAGGTTGGGCTGGAGCTATTAACGCAAGCAAGATTTTAGACAAGGTTGCGGTGTCAGCATGCACAGCAACGATGTGGAGAGCGCTGGCATGGCACTGTAGTCACTTGAGTTAACCTTGACCCTGGGACAAGAAACCCGAATGCCGGATCCAATGTGCAGGATCTGTGGTCCAGGCTGATTGAGCCAACCGTACGAAAAGTTGCCAAAGACTGTCCTGAAGCACCCTGCATAAGCAATCCAACCCGCCAAGGGGGTGCAGCACCCCAAACTAGTTAGCAGGAAGGGGAGTTTAGTAGTACTCGTGGTAGTGGTAGTGGTAGTGGTGGTAGTGGTAGTAGTAGTTGTTGTAGTAGGTGGTAGTAGTAGTAGTAGTAGTAGTAGTAGTAGTCGTGGTGGTGGTAGTAGTAGTAGTAGTAGTTGTGGTAGTATTTGTAGTAGTAGTAGTAGTAGTAGTAGTAGTAGTAGTAGTAATAGTAATAGTAGTAGTAGTAATAGTAGTAGTAGTAGTAGTAGTAGTTGCAGTAGAGGTGGTAGTAGTGGTAGCAGAAGAAGAAGAAGAAGTAGTGGTAGTAGTGGTGGTAGTAGTAATAGTAGTGGTGGCGGTGGTGGTGGTAGTAGGAGTAGGAGTAGTCGTCGTGGTGGTAGTAGTGGCAGCAGCAGCAGGAGGGAAGAGGAGTGGTTATTGGTTCCCGCATGGTAGTATCCGAAGACTCCGCTGCGCTTTGGTCTCACGAAAACCTATGCCGAAGGAGGAGTGGTAGCAGCAGCAGCTGGGAGTCACGAGTCCAAAACTAACAAGAAGAGTAAGACTACCCACAGCGTCCTCAACCCCACGCATCCCGGAGCCCTAAACCCCCGAATACTGACACCCCACGGTGCCCTGCCCGATGCGAATCCTTCGGGGTCGACGCCGTCGGCTTCTGTCTCTGGTGTCATCCTAGGCTGACAGTGCGGCTAACAAACTCCCACAGTGCTTGGCCGTGTGGGTCAGAAACTCGAGGCCGTTCCGAGTTTCCCAACCTCAAAGCCCATGATTTCGGACTGAGGGGAACTCGGAAGTTTTTTTTCCCACCCACCCAGCTGACTAGGTCGCACCGCAGGGAACTCGTTCGACGAAGCTGAAGACTGGTTGTGTGAAGGTCCACGGTTACATGCAATCCCTTTCAGAAAAGGCCAACACCAAGTAGCAACCGATAGTCACAGGAGGGATTGCACAAACGCCGACCTCCAGTGCCTAACTCAACTCAACAAAGGGAACGGTATCCAAGCCCGAACAGCAACCCAGATAACCAGACCGTCCCAGTTTACTGAGTCAAGTACTAAAAACAGGCATAAACGTCCACCAACAACTTCAACCCCCATGGGATACTAAAACAATAATGCAGAGTAAAAACGTAGGAACCGCCTCCAGTGGACGTTCACCTGTATCCGACTAGGTCACTAGAAGAGTCCAAAAAGGAGGCCGCCCCAGCCTCCTCTCCACAGGGAAAGAAAGAAAAACAACAACATAGGCATAATATAAACAACGCAGTAATGAAAGCCATCAGTAGAGAGAGGCCAAGACATGTTTCAGCGTCACGCTGAGGTGTAGGGCATCTGTAAAGGGCTTGGGATACTCCAGGCATACTAAAACTACTTCACAAAAAAGCATAAAGGAATCGGGAGAAACATGCACGGAGTCCCAAGCCCATCTGATCTCTAAGGATCCAGTATGGACACCATTTCAGAGGTCCAATGAAAAGTTTACTTCGAAAATCTGTACATGTAGGGCGGTTAGTTCAGGCTCGTCAGATCGTAGAGTCACCACATGTAAGCAGCGATTATGAATTGTATGACATTGGTGGTTAATTAGGACTTGCATTTTTTGTCAACTCATGCAAGAGCTAAATTACGAATTCAGCAAAGGTATGTTGAATTAGGCAGTCACCAGGGATTGTCACTCACATGTAGGTCAAGGTCTGCTTCAGGATTCCGCCAATATATCAGGTCCCAAAGTTTACGCACCAGGGCTGTGTCATTGTCCAGAGGAGCGAAGTTATGGTTCCAAAAAAGCAGAATGCCGTATACTCCAGCAACCTTCTGGCGTTTTTTGTGTAATTCCATGTGGCCCGAATAGGGACGAAATCGTCTAGCCAGCAGGACCCCATGCTTTTCCCCCAAGAGAGGGATGGGCCTGTAGTCAGATTCACCTCCTGATCTTTTGCCGAGTGTCGACAAGTGCATGCAGTCTGTGTGCATCCTTTCAGCCGAAGCTACATGATGCAGCAAAGTGCCAAGACCCACCTATCTGAGCGAGCCAGGATACTGTGTGCCGCATCTTCCGAATGTCACGCATGCAGTCAGTCATCCCAGACCTGGACTTATCCCGGGCCTCTGCCGTCAGCTGCTTTTGATCATTGGATCAATCAGCTGTTTCATGGTATGTGAGCGGTTCTTTTCACTGCCTTTCTTCCACAGATATAAATTCCAACTTGCAGGATCTCATGTCCAGGAGCAAAGAAGGCAGCATTGAGGCAGGTCCATGGCGCAATCGCGAGGGTTAGGGTCCAGACAGACCAGACACGGAGTAAGGGAGAGAGGCAAAAGAGGAAGGAGCAACCCAACCACAAATAAACGGGATAAGAGCGACAAAACTGGAAATATCCAAAGCGAGTACGATGATCGCCGGTTGGAGGACTTGCCAAGTTTAGGCGTAGTAGCCCAATCCCGAATTCCAGTTCCGAATTAGGGTGCTTGTGGAGTTAATTTACGCGAAAACGAACCACGGGACATGCAACTGCACGCACGACGCGATGAATTAGTTACATGCAAGCCATGGGGCGAATCTTACATTCGTCCCGTCCTCTATGCTCTCCCGGAGCATCTGGAGCTTGCCTCAGTAGATCCTTAGTCCACTCTCGATGGAGACCGTGATCAACTCCGGTTGGTAGCAACGATGACATCTTCGGACTCTCTGAGGAAGAATGAACTGTTAGGGCAGGGGGAGGTGGGGTCAGAGCTTCGTTGATTTTCAGCTGACGCACGACATGATGACCGTAAAAGGCAGTAAGGGCATAGTCATCAAGGTCGCTTCCTTTGTTGGGGGGTTGGAGGCCGCGTAAGTGTAGGATGGTATTGAAGTACTCAGTATTGTTGACACCCAGCTGGGGACACCAGGCATTTAAGACTATGCGTTCTCCATCTTCCCAACGTTCAGTACCGTGCAGTATTGTTTTACCTGAGAAGAGGATGGCTCGA